CAATTTTAGAACCAGTCCTGTCACTAGGTCGTATCCGTACACCGGTGGATCCAGTTTTATCAGTGCTCAGACCTTTGATTGGCTTAAGCAATTTCCTAACTGGTTGCTTCAAAGGTCTTTTTGAAGACACTTCAACGAACTGATTTTCGTCATCACCATCCTGAATGTAGCTATCCTCTTCATCACCTTCTGGGATAGTCACACGATTGATTGGACGCTTAGTAGAAACTTGCCCAGGTGCTTTGTCATCGTCGTTTTCATACTGAGCTTGCTCTTGATTAGATTCGTCAGTAAAGTCAGACAAATCACCTGATGAAACTACTGGTTTCCTAAAACCGGTAAATGGTCTGCGTAATTTCATATCTTTTTTAGTTTCAGTGACATATTCCTCAGGGATTTTTGCATCACTTGCCCCTTTTTGAGGTCCATAACGCATTGCACCTTGGTATTTCTTGTATCCATACTTGTCGTCGTCATAAGACCCTGCAAACACAAAATAGAGAAAAAACTTATAATGTAGTAGAATTTTGTAACAGATTATACCCATTCATACACTTTTTCCTATTCAATTAAACACAAATTCATATTGTACCTAATTTTGGTACCCTTAATAAGCTAAACAGTGATTACGTTATTTAATTAATGACAAAATATACATACCATCGTGATAGATCCCAGCTTCTTTCTCTTTCTGCACTTTTTCTATAACTTCTTGAATAGCTTTTGGAATTGGTGGAGGAGTGGGCAAATGATCACCGCGTGGTTGGTAGCCATTTTCATCCGCCGTGTAAACAATCGAATACAGTTTTCCATCATCACCGATGTACGAATATGAGCCTTCAGCTTTCACTCCATCGGCAGCTGTTCCATTCTCATCAGCATGGATACCATTGGAAGTGTCAAAACTGTACGCAAAATAACCTTCTGGAGTGATGATGCTATCGTAATTCAATATAACAGCATTTCGATCAGCTTCAGCTTGGGGTCTTTCTGGACGTTGAGAATAAACACCTGGTGCTCCATTGACTTGGCTATTAAATTGACCCTCAGGGTATCCAGGAGTTGGGTAAGAAGCACCTGGGATAACAGATGTTCCAGTAGGGAATTGTTGGTTGTCGCCATTGACGTAAGTCGCAGGTGCGAATGTCGTTGAAGGTCGGAATACATTTTGCCTATTCGGTCCAGTTATTAAACCACCTGGTTGTAGTCCAGAATTCGGCACTTGGTAAGCTTCTTCGTTGTTTATATTTTGACCATTGACTTGATTTGGGAAACCAGCTTGAGGGGAATAGGGTCGAGGTGTTGACGATCCTTGAATGTTATCGAATGTGTTGCCATAAGGAGAGCTTGGTTTAGTAGTTGAAATGAAACCCGGTGCTACAGTTGATGGAACAAAGCTTGGCTGGTTTACGAAACCATTTTCGTTCAAAGTCTGATTCTGGTACTGATCTTGCCCAAAAGGTGCTTCAGGGCGAAGTCCTGACACGATTTCCGAATTTTGTGTAGGCCTGACAGGGTATTTTAATCGGCCAGAAATTGGACCTAGAGTAGGGTTTTGTTCCCTAAATTGATTTCTGTTCGCGTCATATCCTGGTCTATAAACATTGAGATCTTGAGGTTGGGTTGTAGATCCAGTATATTGGGAAACTGGGCCAGATGTAGGGGTAGCAGGTCTTTGTCCAATGAATTGTTTGTTGTTAAGTTGATAGCCTGGAAGGTTTTGAGCCTGCTGGTTATCAATAGACCCGTAAGGTTGATCAGGATAGCCAGTATTTTGTGATACTGATTCCGCAGTGGGAGTTTGGCCTCCAAATTGAGTAGCAATTCTGTTATCTTGGGGACGAGTAAGTTCTTGAGGTTGATAACCATCTTGGCTTGGGATACCAGGGCTGAATGTTTGTGGTACTATAGTAGTTTCAAAACCTTCAGTAGGAGGATGAGTCGTGGTCTGGGTGAATGCGTAAGACACTGTTGTTGTAGGTACTCTATGCGAAAACGGTCCTCTTGTTCCAGGAGCTACATCACCAGTAACCAGAGTTTCCGCTGGCACGCCTCGATTGATCCCTATAGTTGCTTGGTACTCTTCAGGGTTCGTTACTGCACCATCGAATCCCTGAGGTCGTAACGTAGTAGAATAGGTGTCTTTAGGATATTCTAACGGGACTTGAATATCCTCAGGTCTACCGCCAGAATATTGAGACCCTGGAGGTGGTAGGTAGGTCAAATCCAGCTTTTCAGCGCTGGCATAAGCCAGTGCTAGGATGATCTGAAACAAACGATTACTTTATTTCCTCACTTTCTCTTTCTAAGCTTGAACTAATCTGTATTGTCAACAAACTGTTGTCACTGAACACTAATCACTTTCATTTACTAATTCACTAGTGTACACTGAAAGCCAAGGAAAGAACACTAACCAGAAAGGTCTTCATCTCGATGGGTGTATCCAATGCAGGATTCAGATGAGATGTGTGATGATACCGAAACAAAAATGTTATTTATACCATCCTTAAAATTAACTTCTAATGACTATTTAGGCGTACGTACGTGACAGACGTCCAGCGTGACAAACCCTAATTGTTGCTGTCAAACGCCTGAACAAGTTATTAAGAGTGTTTATTTTTATTATTTCATCACATTACGTTCCGATTGATCATGAGGTGGATATTATCCAACCTTGACATTTCTGTGGCCGGCAGTGTAATTGGTGACAAACGTGGAGGAATTAGGCACATTGGTGACATAATGTATCGAAAGCGAATAGGATCTAAGAGTGGACTGGAGACTGATCGCTTTTCTTTGTGTTCACATTTCATTCATGAGTCATGACCACTCGGACAGATTTTAGACTTAAACTCGTTCAACTCGACTAGTAGAGCGCAATCTTAATGAAAGAATCTTTTAACTTTTGTCCAAATTTTCACTAAACTAAGCTATTGTCATTACATAAAAAGTATAAGGAAAAGTCATTATTTGTTGTGAATTCCATCAAATTTTCTATACTAATATTATAAATGCGAAAATTATTCTGTTTGTCTGTCTGTCTGTCTTGCTTTCACGCCTAAACCACTGAACCGATTTTTATGAAATTTGAGATAGTTTGAGTCCCGGGAAGGGACATAGAATAGTTTTTATCCCGGCTTTTGAAACAGGGACGCGCGCGATAAAGTTTTTCTGTGACAGACAAAATTCCACCCGGGCGCAGCCGCGGGCGGAAAGCTAATAATAAATCAAGTTAATTTCTACTTCGTTTTAAGATATATCACCCAACCTAAAAACAAGTTAAGTTAAACAATGCATTAAATGTACGATCATAAACTCAGTAGTTCCAGCCATTAGCCGATTCAGAAATAGCCCTACCAAGATTCGAATCAAGGCAAGACAACACCATAAACCATAAATTTATCAAGGGCACATAAAAAGGGCAATTTCTTCGCCAAACGATTATTATTAATAGCTTTGAAGACCACCCAAAATTCCTAGCAAAGGTACTTCAAATATCTTGTCATGCACTTGATAATCTTCATTTGAGGTCGCACAGACCACGAGCGCAATCAGTACACCAGATACATGACCGCCATTGTTCAATAATTACTTTTGGGGACCGTGAACTGTGATCTTGTTAAGGGAGAGATCTTTTTGTGTTTGGATAGTAAATGTTTTCATATAAGAAACGCCTTTTGTGATATTGCTATGTGTCTGTACAGCCCTTGGAACGTTATTTCTTTATCCACGACTTAAATTGTTATAATGCGATGTTACATCCGCGAGTATTGTGGTATGTTATAGAAAGTACCTATTTATCAAGTTTTAATTTAGACGCAGGCTAGCTATGGAAGTCAACAGGTGACTAGTAATTGTCATAAAACATTCTTTGTTTATCAGTAAAAACATATTATGCAACTTGGAAAATTATTTGATTTTCATCCCTAGGGCCAAAAAGATAAATAAATAAATATCCTCGGACATTTTCGTCGCTTGCCTCTCTAACTGACGTATCTGACATTTTTTTTCGAAACTGAGTTAGGTATCTACACCATCTTAATCAATTTCGCAAGACGAATCGATCTGTCTAATCGCCTGAACATTTTGCAAAATGTCAGTTATGTCAGTTAGAGAGGCAAGCGACGATTTAACACTGCGCCTCTAGTCCCAAACTAAGCAAAGCTTGTACTATGGGTACTAGACAAGGGATATAAACATACTCAGATACTTTTTTTTGTTAATTTACTTATGTCTAATATTACAAAAATCACAATTGGTTAGGAAATTATTTTAACTAATTATGATAGTTCCCAAAAGAAATACAAAAAGGTACCCAGCTAAGTTACACCTAATTGAGAAAGTAAGTGCTTACTCTATTTTGCTTCCCCTTAAGTAAGTTATGAATGAAGAGCCAATAGGTCAACTCATAAAAGTTATAAAAGAACAAAGCTCTGTCCATCAAGAGTCATGTGCATTTTATTCTTCGGTGCGATTTGTATTGTTGGCTCGCCTTTTTGTTTCTTTAACAATATCTTTAAATATTAATTATTATAATTAAAAGTACGAGTACAATGAAATAGTTGGAATTTATGTTACGTATTGACATGACAACATTACACAATAATTGCTTTGGAAAACCGTCATGATGTTGAGTTTTCTTCTTCTTTGTATTGGCTAATTTTTTGTATAGAGTAAGTATTTCAATGACTCTGCCCACTTTTAGCTTGACCCATGGGCCAAGTCGCTGGATTGATTATTAAATATTTTTTGTTCTAGTAGCTGGCACCTTCAATGTTTTACTAATAAATTAAATACCAAATCAACATTGACCTCTACAATCTTAGAGTGGGCCCAGTTGCCGGGAAAAAAAATATTCAAAAATTCAATTCAGCGATTTCGCCCGTAGACCAAGCATAATGCATTGAAAATGTATCTTAATAATACACACTATTCCGAATTTAATTAAGACAACATGAGGGTGAGATGGAAGGTTTAAAATAATAAAAATTTGCGTTTAGTCATTTAAATATGTAATAAAATTTAGTCAAACATTAACACGTAGCTAGCAGTCGTTTTAGTATCTGTATCCATTCCTAGCACTGAAGCTGGGCTGTCTAGTCCTGCTTCCAAAACCGGGGTTCCTCTGGCCAGCGACAGGGGGAAGGTATGCCTTGTTCACACCCTGTCCCCTGCTGAAACCCTGGCTAGCTGGTCCATTGTTGAATATACCCTGGCTAGCTCGGCTGAAACCCTGGTTAGCTTCAGGGTTGAAGCGGTCCTGGTTGGGAGGGAGGTAAGCCTTGTTGGTGGCCTGGTTTCCATTAAGACCATTGCCAGAGTTACGGAAGAGAGCAGAGTTGGTCACAACGGAGTCGTCATCGCCTTCGTAAGCGTTCTGGTTGTTGAAATTGCCGTTGTTGTTGTACTGGTTGCCATTGTATTGGTTGCCGCTGTACTGGTCTTCGCTGTTGCCGTATTTGCCCTCGCTGTAAGATCCTGTAATAAGACATAGCAATATTAACAAAATTGCACACAAACAAGATGACTTTTTTATTTGGATATTTTACCACTATTTACCGATATGGTTAGAAATTCAGACAGTAGGATACTTACTTACATAAACCTATAATTTTGTGAAATAAATATCTTAATAGTGTAGAGAATTGTTTTATTTCACCTAGTCATTAACCGACTTCAGGAAAGTTGATGAGGTTCTCATTTGTAGTTTAAACTTCTGATAGAATTAGGTAACTTTTGTGTAATTTAATGATAGGCTGTTAAAAAAATATAAAGGAATTTTAAAAAACCATACCATCATCGTAGATGCCTGCAGCCTCGTCGCGGGAGTTCTGTTCCAGAGCCTTCAGGATCTCTTCCGGGATGGGGGGAGGGGTAGGGAGGTGGTCACCCTGGGGCACGAATCCATTCTGGTCAGCGGTGTATCTGAAATTGAGAATGGAGTACTTAATTTAAACTATCAGACAATGATTGTTTTAAATTAAATTACAATTAGTATGCGAAACATTTTCTACATTTATACAAAAACGTATTTATTTTAGGTTGCGAAAAACACTAGTCAATGCAAGATAAATTACCGCAACGCTATTATTATGAGACTCTATCTTCCTATTATTTTTATATCTAAACATTGGAGTAATCTTAACAGTTAACTTTGTTTTATCATTTTTTCCATTGCATTGCTGAAAACTTTGATTCTAATCTATGGAAAATATTATAACTTATTAAATTACATAATAACAATTAATTACCTGATGCTGTAAACCTGACCGTCGTCACCGGTGTAAGAGAAGCCACCCTGAGCCTCCACGCCATTGGTAGCTACACCATTCTCCTCAGCGTATATACCGTTTTCAGTTTCATAAGCATAAGAGTAGGTCTCTCCATCATTCTGGTTGTCCTGACGAAGGATGGCAGCGTTCCTCTCAAAGGCAGCCTGGGCGCGCTCAGGGCGGTTTTCGAAGTTGTTGAAACCGTTTCCGTTCTGGGCATAGTCGTTCCCGTTCTGGGAGAATCCGTTTCCGTTCTGGGAGAAGCCGTTTCCGTTCTGGGAGAATCCGTTGCCGTTTCTGGCAAAGCCAATTCCAGCTTGGCCTTGGCCCTGATCTCCGAGTGGGGTTTCAAGGAAAGTTCCTGATCCACCAGAGGTTTGGGAGTGAGAGGGAGGGAGGTAGGTTTTGTCTAACTTGGCAGCGTTAGACAAAGCGACCACCGCTAGTACTACGAACTGTAACAAAAAGGTTAGATAATTAGTAATAATGTTAGTTATTCGGGACTATTCCCACCTCTCGTTCCCACCACTGCAACTCCTGTGTAGCCAGGATCTACAGCTTGACCGCCACAAAAACCCAACCAATGAAGGTCAAGTTTGTCCCGGGGGAAAATTAAACTGTCATTGGACCCGCTACGAAATTAATCAGAAGAACATAGGAGGAGTTCGAAGTTAAGGTTCGACTTCCCTCCATTGCATAGCGGATGACAGGTGACAAGCAAAGGTTTAGTAATTAGGTTAGTTATGTTAAAAGTTGAAATCTTGTTATGGACAAAGATAGTCATTAAATAAAATTATACTTTCACACTTCTTTTCTTGAATTTTCACTGATATCCAGATACAATCTTGAATCCGTTTAATCTAATATAATCTAATTATTTGTAAGAAAGAAAGTTAATAAGTGTTAAATAAAGAATGATTTTATAAAAATTGCCTTGATAATAGCCGTATCAAAGGCAAAATCGTTTTAATCAAGATCAACTGATAAACTATGACCTCAAAAGCCTAAATCGGGCATTCATCTATAAACTCACCAATTTCATTTTTGCAAGTGTATTTTTAGACCTCCTCAGATCATGTACCGACGTGTACTGATAATGTCGAATGGCTATTACAATATTTATACTAATGCTTACTGGTATCGATCTACATTTGAAGATGCTCTCGTTCAAAAATCGTGGCTGGGTGTTGCTTAATCAAAATATAATTCACGAAGATGGACCCCTCTAATTGTGCCGGACGGTGGTATGCAAGATGGCGTTTCGAATCTAAATATATAAACTTAAGGTGACTTACTAACTGACATAGTGATCTATCAACGCACAGCCTAAACTACTGGACGGATCGGGCTGAAATTTGGCATGCAGGTAGATGTTATGACGTAGGCATCCGCTAAGAAAGGATTTTACGAAACTCCACCCCTAAGGGGGTAAACGGGATCCATGCATACGAAGTCGCGGGCGATCACTAGATTGGAAATAAAGACTTATCAAAGTAGTAGGTATGTTTTTAAGTCACAAGAAATGTTTTTATGATTATAAAGTTGTTATTTTTAACTGGTAGGTGTGATATTTCATGTATGATTTGGATCATACTGAAATTATCATAATGTTTTGGTAAATAAATTTTTTTATTTACACATTTTGATAGATTAACATTTTGATAAATGTAATTATTTAATAATTACAAAAAAAAAATGCTTCAACATTGTATTATCTTTCTCCTAGTTTATCTTTTCTTATGTTACATACAAAAGACTTCAACGCGCCAGCGCTACCAGCACAGACTAAATATTTTTTTAATACAAACTAAGAAGAACACAAACTACTGGACTTGTTTTGCTGATTAAATAGATATTTATTTTATTTTTTGTTTTTAAAACCGACTACTTGCTATGTTATGATGGACATAATATCATTAAATGTAATTTCAATTAATAAGCTTTCTTGCAAAATATTAAGTAAATAAAAAAATGATCATTCTTATTTTCATTCAAAGTTATAAAATGTTTCATGCCTCGCTCTCGCATACCGCCGCCCAATCACTTGAATGGCCGTATTACACACAAGAGCATTCCATATCGTCTCGCCCTTGGGTGAAACATTTTACTTAAGCGCGACCTTAGCGTTCAAAAGTAATTAGAACAGCTTCCGATTGTGCTGATAGCTTTGTTTGTAGGCTTCTTTTAGTTTTGTAATTGCGTGATGATGATGATTTTGAAGAAATTTTTCATTGTAATGTGTTCCGATGAAATATGAAATCTTTGCGTTTATGCTAGGTAATTAAGGCCTACAGTGTCGAAAGATATGCCTACTTTATGAGCATTGCAGTGATATGATCTGTATGAAATATCATAGCCTCAGTTGGTCTAGTTGACCGAGATTTGAACTCTATTGAATTGAATCTATCTATGTATACTAATACGAAAATAACTCCGTCTGTTTGCCTGTATGTCTATTTGTCTGTCTTGCTTTCACGCCTAAACCACTGAAACGATTTTGTTCAAATTTGGCATAGAGATAGTTTGAGTCCCGGGAAAGGACATAGGATAGTTTTTATCCCGGTTTTTGAAACAGGGACGCGTGCGATAAAGTTTTTCTGTGACAGACAAAACACCACGCGGGCGAAGCCGCGGGCCAAAAGCTAGTATTGAATATACTATTGCCGGTGTAAAATCACATCATGAATTTTCTTCTTTGTGAAAAAGGCTTAAAGCAATCTAATAGCTCAAAAAGAGATACATTTTCCTGATTCAGATTTGTTAAGTTATCGGTTGAGGTGAACTATGTTAAATGCATGTGGTGGCTTATAAAGTTTAATACCAGCCTAAAAAAATACTCCAATGAAACGGTCATTAATTGCATGTGTGTAGCGTAAGATGGACAATAAAGATGTTGGCGATCTATTCATTATGAGCACTGGATACTTTTAATTCCTCATAATGTTAAAAATAGGAAGTAAAATAACTCCTGTTGCTAAAACTAAACACACATCCTGTATATGTCTAAGAACACTAACAAACGTGCTTACCTAGGGTCATTCTAATTACGATTAGATGTCCAAACTAGTATGCATTGAATGCAAGGCAAATTGCAATGATTTATAACATCAACGTGAGCTGAAAAGTCGATCCATAAATGGAGCGTATAAAATAGATCCTTAATAAACATGTGCTTTATTTTTATTTATTTTTATTTCCTTGCAAAATCGGATGCTCATAAAACATGTCTGGAGGTCTTATTCAATGCTTAGTTGGTTTTATTTTGGTCTGATCTGTTAATTAAGATTTAATTTCTGTGCTCTCTTAGGTATTTCGACGCACCTTGTTTAGAGTGATGAGAAATTAACGCTTACAAAATCTATGTTCATAAATGGAGAATTGAAATATATGTTTACAATTTAAAACCTTCTTCTCGTAATTTTGATACAATCTCGCTGCAAGTTGAGTTATATCCGTTGGACAAAAAGAGTTTGTAGCTTTGGTAATCATCAAGTATTTTGATTATAAGGATTCTGAATAACATTACATCCACAATTTCCTTTTAAATCTTAATTATAAACTTAACTCCATTGCTCGATGTTATTTTATAAGGACTAGTAGTGCCGAGAAGTCCTGGGTTCGATTCCCGGCCGGGAAAAAATTGAAATGATGAATTTTAATTTCTGTGATGGTTCTGGGTGTTACTATGTATTTACAAAAAAAAGTATTTAAGTGTGTTCCTAACCGTTGTCTAGTACCCACCCATAGTACAAAGTTTTGCTTTGGGACTAGAAGCGTAGCGTAAAATATCCAAGGCTATTATTTATTATTTCATTTATTACTTCACAACAAAGACTATGACGTGATACCAATGTTTTCGATACTTGTTTGATCAAAGATCTGTCAAAAATTACCATTTGGTCATGTTAGTTTAGTTACCTAACATTTACTACCCAATATCATCACATCACATCTAAATTGTAATCTAGCTATCATCAACAGCTACCACCTATGAGCTGATCATATCACAGTCTTAATAATAGCTTCCTTTATTAAACGTCTTAATCGTTTCCCAACTTGTCAGAGAACCTCATTATGAAAGGAAAGTGCCAACGGGTCGGCGCTACAATATTATTCGAGTAATCATCCACGAGTGTTAGAGTATGCGCTCACGATACCGTATAAATTTGGTGTTTTGGTATCAGTATCGAGATGGTAAATCATCATCATCATCATCATCATCATCTCAGCCATAGGACGTCCACTGCTGAACATAGGCCTCCCCCAATGTTTTCCATGTAGATGGATGGCGTTATCTATGATGGGCGTTATTACCTACATTGCTGCATTGAGACGTTCTCCATTGAATTCAATATAAAAAATAGAGTTTTTAGTAAGTTCCTGTATACTTCCGAAGTTAAATTGAATTTATTACTGCTGATATAAATCACTATAGTCTTAAAGCTGAGCTAAAGATGGCTCAGTAGCATCCGATATGAATTTTGTTCACTTGTTCAAACCCCTTCTTAAATATGATCCCCCTTATTAATAATAGTTACACCATAGTTGAACCCTGTTTTAAAGTGACATTTAGTATGGAAATATCACTTTAAAATAGAGCTGAACTAGGATGTAACTTTTTATTAATAAGGGGCCTTTACCTCTTATAACCCTTGTAGTATGACAGTGGACCCCGACCACCATTTAAGTGTATTTTCTAATTAAAACGTTTGTTTATAGAAAGGAACTATCTCTCCAAAAATATAATTCATCTCCCTAAAATATAAAAACCAAAAGAACAATTATTTAAGCTGCACCGTCTCCACCGTCCTTTACATTTGATACCTGCTGGTACGATCGACACCGATGACTATTATTAGCGCGGCGCTTCACGCCGGCTTCGTTCAATTATACGTGTATCTTTACACGAACAGTCGAGCCGGCAAGTCTTGGCATATTATGGGATGATAAATTTTGGTACTAATTTATAATTTTGTTATAGTGGAGGCCACGTACACCCACAAGGTGGACCGATGACCTGATAAAGGTAGCAGGAAGGCGTTGGATGCAGGCCCGCTATCAACCGTGCAATGTGGAAGTCATTGGGGGAGGCCTATGTTCAGCAGTGGACGTCCTGTGGCTGAAATGAGGATGATGATAATGATGAAATTTTGTTGAAGGCAAAATGTGTTTTAGCCGCTTTGAACCAAGTTGATATGCTTTAGAGAGTAATCCATGAAGTTGTTGTTATAATTTAAGAGATATTTTCATAGCATTTATTGCTGAAATAAAACTGATAAAGAAATATTTATTTTGAGACCTATACGGGAAAACTTTTCGTAAGTTCTATTAAAAACTAGAACAGAATTTTATAAAATAACGTTTAGTCACTGAGCACTACTTTTTCCCTTGACCATTAAAAATAACACAAAAGGGCAATTTGAGTCCAAATTAAGTGTATTTTATTTACAAAACAAATATTACGGTAAACTGGTACATGATTTGTGTATTAATAGTTGTTTACTGCAGTTTCCTTCAGTCTTCACATAAGGCTACCAGTGTACCTACCATGAGTTTACGTTAGGTGTGCTCGCTAGTGATTACGTCAAAAATCTCTATGAAGATTTTGTTTCTTGAAAGTAGCCGCTAGGGGCGCTGCACAATATGTCATACTAATTAATGTCATTTTTTTACGCAGTCGCTAGCGAGCACACCTAACGTAAACTCATGGTAAGCACACAAGTTTATGTTTATTGTCGAAAGCTTTACATAATGATTAATCAAAAACTAGTCACTGATTGACTGACTCACTCATCACGAAATCCCTGAATATGAATCCTACAAGTGCTAGGAGTCTCAGATTTTGCATGGGGGTTCCTTTTAGAACTCTAAGAACTCACAGACTCACTAAGAACGGGGTAAAAAGGGGATCGTACGATTGATTGCCGTTAGTCACAAATTGTTATAATGTGTTTCATAGAAACGAAACCATGGACTCTACAATTACTTAAAAACCAGGTACTTTGGACATAGACCTTTCTGCCAAGTTTTACCGGGCCGACTATACCAAGTTCACACGACGTTTAGTTTCGTCAGAGCCG